AGACAACCCCGTAACAATATGCGTTTTGTACTGCTGTTACACAGCACAAAACGCATAATAATAAAGGAAATGTCAACGGGAAGAGAAGCTGGACTGGTGTTTAGCAAGGATGACATACAAAAAACAAAAAAGATGGCAGTGAGCTAGGAACATCATTGTAAAATTTCAGTTTCCTAGCTTCTGCGATTGCTGAGTTGAAGATGGGCGACAAAAATTCGAACACACACGTACATAGACACACGCATACACACACACAAGCACGCACACATACACGCATACACACAGACGCACACGACAACTTCATCACAACAATATGTGTTTCTGCAACTGCGTAAAAATGCAAAAATGTTTAAAAGTTTTTGCCACTGTGTACAACCACAATTTACTACAAGCCTCTAAGCAAGGTTGCCACATTTTATTAAACTTCGCACATGTATACCATTTAAGAAGTCTAGCTGTGGTATTGTACGTAAATATACAGGTATTTGGAAACCACGTGCCTAATACACCTGATATCCATAGGATATTAGGCATGGCCCCATAGGACATTGGGTATATCAGGTACGTAGTCTCGCACGAAGTCGGAAAAGCTAGTCCAATGTTCCTCGATTTTCCAGCTTTTGCAGTGCCTGAGTTGGATCATGTGGTAGTAGAGAAGGGCAGATTGCTACACGTAAGTGACCTCGTCGTGACGTGTTTTCGTTGCATTCATGATGTAAAAAGATGCAAAAGGCAAAAAGTCCCACCTGACAATTATAAATTTGCTCACTGCTGCCAGCGCTTTTGTCACGTGTAGAGACATTACCCGACAAGTACCTAGAATTTGTAAAACGTCAACAGTATTTATCGATTTGTGATATTCAGAACAACTGATTGATCTAGAAGCCCTCGTTGCTGTTCAGTACGTACAGTCTGATCCGAAATCAGGAATTCAGCAATTCACTGTAGTACTGCGATTGTCACGCAATGGTCGTAAATGAGAATTGTTTACAGCTTTAACAAAATCGAATGATTACTATGCTGATACAAGCGCTGTCAATCTGGCCACAAACAACCACTGTCGTTACTTCAGAGATAAGTGAAGTGCAGGCGACGTCTTGAATTTTCAGTGCGACGAAAGCGCGAAAATATTGTACAAAAAAAAAAAATTATCAGTTTTCCCGAAAAACTATGAACCTGTTAATGACGTTGACCAGTGCAGTATTAAGCGGCATTAATACGACAGTTTGTTCATCGGGAAAAACAGTTGGCTTGTAGCATACTTTACAAATAACAATGCAACCTGAGGTGGACGGGGTCAAGATTGGAGGTGCTCGATTACTTCCGAGTGAGATGGATGGAGAGGAATGCAATGCTGCTGAGCCGATTAACGATGACGGCCGGGAATCTGCAACACAGTTGAATTCGCTAATTAAATTATTGACAAAGCAAGTCAGACAAAAGGGCAAAAATCTTTTCATTACTGTTAAATGAAAGCCACTGATGCACACCAACGTTTTTTTTTTCCAAAAAACAAAAACAAAACTGATTTTATCACCAAAATTCCAGAAACTGCTTGCTGATGTAATATAAAAACAAAGAAAAGGTAATTTTCCTGCGAGTCAATTTCCAGTAAGTCAAGAAAAAAATGAAGGGCATTAAAAAAAACAAGCATATTATCACAAAAAAGTCGCGACTGGCACCACATGACTATTGTGCATTTTTGCGTCAACCTATTGCGGACACAAAGTCGATAGATATGTTAGCAAATCACAGGTCTACTTGAGAGCTGTCAACCAATGAAATTTTGAATTTATAGCCCACTCTGATTTTATAACAGCGACTCAATTACATGAACTAGCCGAGCAACAAACAAAGAGGTGCGGAAGCTCATCTGGATCACACACCTTGTATTCCAAACGAAACATCTAAAACTTCCAGTTTTAACGTGCCTCGTTTAAATATTATAACAAGAGACAGCATTTAAACTTGGGACCGTATGTCAAGATCTAACAAGGCGAAGTCCAAACTCTGATTTCAGGCGATTGGTCGTGCAGTGTACGACATCTTATAACACTCCGACTCCTTCTCAGGGATAGCAGACTTTCAAAATTTCCGTTTTCTAGGTTAGGTGACTTTGGTTTAAACGATCCACATGCTCTAACGAGCAGAAACAGACACCACCTTATCAGAATGCGGTTTCATTTTTACAGGACATGTAAAAAAGACTAACTTTTTCCAAAAACCACCACGCCGCTATCAGCTTCGGAAACTATCGATAGCTTATCGCTTTCAGTGTCCTGATCCGAAATGCATAATGAGACAGTATCACTTGCTCCTGAACTTGGAGACAAATTTCAATGAGAAAACGTTCACTAAATCTACTGGAAGACTGACAAAAGATGGGAACACAAAAAAACACAAAGGCTGGAACGCACCAGGCGAGCCGGTGCGATCATGCGTTTTTGCATCAAAACTAAAG